ATTGTCGCCTCATTAGCTAAATACCAGGTAAGCTTGTGGGCTTATAGAGGTGAGAACAAGTCGAAAAAATAGGTCGAAACATCTAATAGTAAATAAATAAATAAATAAATCACAACCACTGTTCCCTTTCGTGGGAGACTTAAAACTAATGTTTTCAAATGCTCAAATGCCCAAACCATATTTATGCAAGTGATGAATTTGATGATCGGATAGCAAAGGCAGGTACCACGCGCATCCTAGACACAATAGATTTCATCCAGAACCTACTCGATTACAGAAGATTATTTTGCACATAGTAGTAACAGATTACTTTATAATACGCCTCTAAGATTTCCTTTTCTGGACTGATACAATGAAGGATACTATGCTAATGGTAAAATACATTTTGATTCTCAGATTCCATTTTATAAAGAATATGAAGAAAACCCAATTAAAGGAGTGGAAATCAATGTACCCTTCTCTTGCTTCGTTGATGAACGCAATGGTGAGAAACTAGACTAATTTTGTTTCATACCGTCCCGTTTTTTTCCGGAGATTTAAGAAATGACAAAGTCCAATCAGCGACGTAACAGATACAGTGGTCATGATTTATGGTTGAAGGAGGTTCCTCTCCTTAGTTTTGTTAATAAATAACTGGGATTTCGCCTATAACAAAAAAAGGTATCCACTTTGAGGGGTGCAGGTAAATGTTCCTTTTGAGCTTAATTTGGTGGATACAAACTAAACGCATACTTTGTGCAGTCTCGCCGGATTGTGCGACCTCAGAAGTTCTATTGCGGAGCAGTGATTGCCCAGTCTGCTATCGGGAAGGGCACCGGTGGTGGTATCATATTACCTGTCTATCCTCATTTCCGGTTTTGTGCCAGTTGAATAGATAGCTTGAGCCGTTGTCAGTGTACCTCCTTGCTTCTTGCAGTGTGTGACTGTCTGAGGCTGTGGCACCCACATTTTTTTACTTAGTTACGGTATAGGTCGTACGAATTTAACCTATTTAAGACTGCCAGATTTTTGAATCGGGGCCATTCTTTGACAACCACTCAAACAAATTTGAAGGTCGGGTTACTACATAACCTTAACCCTTTCCCCGTGACTTCTGTTGACAAAGTATCGAATTTGAGGATTTTATTCAGTTAGTTCTGCTACTCATGTGTGCAACCTGTACTCCTAGTCACTGTCGTGACATCAGTCCCCTCAATGACCTTCACTGTGCCTGAGGATGTTGTCTACGTAAATGTCTGTCGTAAGGCCAATGGAAGTAGATGCCATCTACTCCAAGGTGTTGACAGGTAAGTCGCCGTTTTTCTGCCATAGGTCCATAAAATAAATTTGTTATGTTAAATACCGCGCGCTTGCCCTTAGGGCTGTTCTAAATCCCACTTCTTATTCTTAGAACTCCACCAAAAAACCCCTGCTTCTAGAATCTCCGTTCTGCATTTTATTTGGTCATGTGTTCCTGTAACGACAAGGCGAGGTTCCGAACTTAGCCTTACAAAATATTGGCAATTAGTAGGGGTGAGGTAGTACAAGATTTAAATGGGTTTATCCGTAGAGTAGTTGCAAAAGTTGAGGTAAGGATTAGCGATATGATTTGTGGCTACTGATATGAAGAGGTATTACCACTAACCTGCTGATAAGTGGCTTGCACTTTCTTGACCCCGCTTAACCATAGGTGTGTAGTTCAACGCTTCATGGGCTTCCATTTCTTAAAGGCTGATCTCGAACACAGCATTAGACCTTCATCAGATTCCTATTTCTTCACGGGTTGATTCCATCTCTAAGCCACAGGTCCACAAACGAATCAATGCATTTTATAAGCTGAAATAGTGTCGTGGATCGACCGGAGGTAAAACATAGCATGGCATAATGGTTGTTCTAAGTTTTTTTTGCTTCCAGATTCTGTGTAAGTGTTAGCGTGGGGCTCGGTGTAACTCACTACCGCTATCCACTCTGCCGGAGGATCAGGTCACACTCTATGGTCTTGTTCCAAGCTAATCAGTCTAGAGTGTCTGCTGCTTCCAATTGCATTGTGCATGTCATTATCTTCAGGTACCTTCCTCAAATTCCAGAAAAGGATTCCACACTTCTAGCTTGTGCCTACTTCCAGGTGAATAAAGTCAAAATATCCTTACTCTATATCGGCGTAAGTTTAGCAAATAGGGACATTACATTACAATGACATGAATTTTCATTCCTACAGTCCTGTGATTTTGTCTTCAATGAACGTCTTTCCTGTGGAATTCAAGATTTTGCCGATACTCCAAAATGGCTTGAGGTTTCAAAACAACTGGATGACGCGAATGTGCCGACTCTTAGCTCTTTAAGGGATCTCTACAAAGGTAGGTACCAACTTTCCCTCAATTTCCACCTTTTTTTAATTGCGATCATGTCTACCCACTATGGCTATTGCCTTGTTCTGGCGCCTGCTCTTCGAAAAACCGATGCTTTTGGCATCGAGCGAAGCTTCTTCGGTTCGCCCTCAGTGCCAAATGGGATCCGGAATTCATTGAGGCCTCTGGAACAGGCATTTTTGACGAGGGATTGAGTGCCTTTGGAGAGGTATTTACTCCTGCACTCCCTGAGACAGCATGGACACAAATGCGTAAACACTTAAACAACTCAGCGGTGAGTTTTAGAAACAAACTTGGTAACGAACTTTACAATTGACACAATCCATGGGCAACAGATTTCAGTAAATAACAAGACCAGGATAATTATATCAAAATTGTTCCTTATCAAGACTCCTGGAAGTATGCGCAACATGGATCAGCCTATATCATGAAAGGTCTTT